CACACTGATCGTTTCCTTGATTGTCGATATGGGTTTTTCACCCGGCCCACGAGGGCGCGGTTTTCCTGTATAGTAAGTCGTTGAAGGTCCGGCACGCCCCAGGGCACAGCGGTGTAGGAAAATAATATTTCCCCAGCCAATACAGCGGGATACAGCCACGCACCAACTTATGTCCCTAGGGGCACACCCTGAAGCGACGCCAATATCGTTATGACATCGCTCCCGTTGCTCAACAAACGCGCCACCTCCAGCCCCGGTTCACCTTCACCTATCCTGACCTCCTCGACAGACCCGCCCTTAGGAAGGGTATAATTCTCGCTGAACACAGCTTCAGTCTGCTGCCTGCCGGCGTGCTCGGCAGCGGTTAGCCACACCTGGCTCACAGCTCTCACCAGGGCGGTATACGAGGCGCTGACGTTCGGTTCGTCGACGGCGATGATGAACCCCACGCCGTGATCTGGCGATAGGGTGAGGAGTAACATATACGCACCGTCCACACCGTTCTTGGTGTACAGGTCTACGATGCGCGCCACGGGTCGTGACAGTGTGAGGTTCATGTGCGCAACTCCTGGTTCGACTGGACAGTTCGAACCCCGGTCCCTCTTTTGAGGGTGTTACGCAGTGGTCAGTTGCGCCCACCCGTGACAATGCGTGTGGTGTTAGAGGCGAGAGAGGGAGACCAGGACGCGAGTGCGGCCGGTCTCCCAAGGCCGGCCGATGGAGAGCCATAGGTCAGCTGTGTGAGAGACGACGGGCTTGAGCCAGCGCCGGGCTGTAGAGGCGGGTAGGAGGGTGGAGGCAAGGATCTAGCGGCCTAGGGTTGTCATGTCCGAGGGGGTGGAGTAGTAACCTCCTGCACAGGGTGGCTTGGCGGGTTAGTCGGGTTTCAGAGGGTTAGGGATGAGAACGAAATGGAAGTAGAACATTGGGTGCCGATGGAGGAGGGAGGGACTTACGAGGCTTCTTCACCAAGATCAGTGTTTCACGTATTGAGAGCGAGCGTATTGGTGTCGTTGGGCTTGGTCAGAAAGGTGCGGTTAAGTTTAAGAGGCCTGTGCGGTTTGAACAGAAAGCATCTGTCCATCGGCACAGGTCCTCCGGTATACCGCGCGCCCTCATCCTCTGGACCGACCGTTCCTTGCAGACTCCGTTGTAGACTCCGTTGACATCGAAGCTGCTGAGGCTGACAATCTTCCTTCCTCTTCAGGCCGTGTAGATCTGCTCCTGTAGAAATACCAGCGCCTGCACTGCTGACCGCTGCTTCCACGCGCCGAAGTGGTTGGTGGGCAGGAGGCCGTAGGTCTCCACGGCGTGGGACAGCCGTTCCGCGTTCACCGACTCCAGCACTTTGCCCAGCGTTGCTGAGATCGAGATTGGTCTCCACGCCTTCGCGATGGTGTAGTCCTCTTTGCCAGGTTTCTTGAGGGGGATGATCTTAGCATGTCGCCACTGGCTGGGAAGGACCGCATCCTTCAGAGAAGCACGGAAGAGTGCCAGTACATGGTGTTTGACCACCTGCCAGACTTCCTTCCACACTACTGCCGGCAGACCGTCCTACCCTGGTGCCTTCCAGGACTTCATTGCGAACAGCTGTCGTTCAACTTCCTTTATCGTGAGGATAGGCATCATGATCGGTGCCCTCTGTGGTCTTGGCCCTTCATCGTCGATCGTGTCTGGCATAGCGGGGAAGAATTTTGTCAGGAGCTTTTCGGCCTGTTCTCTATGGTGGGCCGTAGATGTCCCATCTGCTCTAACAAAGTTGCGGGATCCTTCCAAACGTGGTATCATCTCCTGATTTACGATACTTTGCAGCCTTCCAAATGTTGTCGTTGTCCGCAAGGAACTCGTTCCAGTGCTTGTTCTTCTGTTGCCGGATGGCATGGTGGTAGTGTTTTGCTGCGCCTTTTGCCAATTCCTCGATCTCAGCTGTGGTCCAGCCTGCCCGGCGTTCCGAGCGAGCGCGGTTCCTGCAGTACGTGTAGATGTCACGTAGCTGCGTCAGGTCCGTAGTTCACCATCGCTTTGCATATGGCGATGGCCGGGCTCTGGGGGTGAGGGAATGGACCGCGTTTGAGACGGCGGACATCAGGTGGTCCGGTTTCTGCTGAACTGTCCCCTTCACTGGGGTGTCCCCTAGTGCGTTCGCAATTTTGGCTCTGATCTCTTTCCATGGCGTGTTTTGAGAAGCAGTCGCTCGTGTGCCTCGGCACAGGTACCGCAATATCGGAGACCGTTTCGATCGTGCTTTGAATTTGAACCATGTTCAGTTCCATGGACTCCGCACTTAATCACAGCGTACTCAGTTCCTCCGAGGCCAGGACCAGGTCGATAGTTGAATCGTATCCATCTGCTTGCCATGTTATTGTACCCCGTGGGAGTAGAGTGTCAGAGCCAGCTCGTTCAGGAGGTCAATGATGAGGTCGGCTTCTCCTTGTCTCACGACGGAGACGTCGTCTCCACCCCACAGTTGGTCGTGGCAGTCTAAATCACCTGCAATCACTACATCGACTGTCGTACCTACTCCCCGTTTCGCCTTTGCTGCCACTTTGCGTAGGTTCTCGCAGATGTCCTTTAGTGATTCGGCGTCCCCACACGGTACGTAGACCGATGCGACTAGGACTACGCGTTGCAGGAGCCGTCTGATCGTTGCCGTGATGTCTGTGGAGTCCACTGGCACCTGCTCGGCTTCCAAGGCTTTATTCACCCAGAGCATGCTCCAGATAGCCCATCTGCCTTCCCTCCACATAGTCGGGACCATCTAGGGAGCTGTCCTTGGCTCTTCCGCGCCTGGGGTTCCTGAATGGGCTATGACGGTAGCGTCCTGGATTGCCACGTCGTTCATCAAGCTGTCATGCACCTCCCCATGCTTTCTGACGTTCAATTGAATCAACCGAAGCATCCTACTCATGACGCGATGGGTAGAGCCTCCGGCAATTCTTGCTGAACGATTCGTGGGGTTGTTAAGGTGAGAAGACTTCAGCTCACGATGGTTAAGAATTCCACGCCTTGAACAGTAGAAACTCACTCCTTGAACAGTAGCCCTACTGACCCCTTACCGCCTAAGTTCATAAGCGCGCGCAATGAAGTGCACACATGCGCACCTGGAAAACGCCTTTAATTCGCCGCCGCCGCCACTGAAGCTATTCCGAGTCTAATATATAATAACAGTAACTTACCAGATTTCTGGTGTTTGGGATCAACATTGGCCTCTTTTAATTGCTTAGTTAGGCTGGACGATAATGCAGTCTTGTGTGCCCTGCGACTCCTGAGATGCCTGGCCAGCCTTCCCCGCCGGTGCATGCAGCCAGTCTTTGAAGTGGTGTACTTCCGGACCAGGGATTTCGACGGCCTCTGCCACCCGCGACGGTTGCAGGCAATATCGACTCGAGTTGGCTTTCCATCAACTGGATTCGACGTCTTCGTCTTGCTAAATCCAAAGCCATGGGAGCGCTCCAGGAGTTGAGGTCGTCCATGAGGCTTTCCAGAGTATTGTAGGGCTGGTCGGAGAGGACGGGAACCTCAGGCAGCCGTCTGAGAAGAATAGCTTAGATGACTTCACTGTACGCGCCGTTGGCAAAAAGTGCAGGCGGTGAGATGTTTGGCCGGCAGAAAGGTGGGGCTACTGTTCAAGGAGGAATTTTCTACATGTTTCAAGGAGTGGAACTCTTTCCAAAAATTTCAGCGCAATATTTTCCGGAAAGTTAACCAGTTACTCCTACCCTTCTTAATCGTCTTTTCGCGCGCAGGCCACCAAATCTTGGTAGACTGCGCCGCTCGCTGGTCTGCGCCATTTGCTCACTATCATGTACGTCAAGAACTTCGCTTCGCTTTAACGTTCCTCCAGGCACAAACACCTCATGTTAATCGTAAATCCTCCACGCCAGATTCTAGCTCAGTCGCATTGATGCCGCCGGTCCGGACACCGAAGAAGAACTCATCGTCAGCGAAGGCTCAACCGCCCGGGTTGAAGAACTCGGGGCGCGCGGCCACTGAGAAGTGGCAAAGTAAATTGACTGAAATCTGGGCGCCCCAACAGCGAGTTGGGGCGGTCTGTGGTTCCGGCCCTTATGTTCCAGCACTACAGTCCTCAGCAGATGCTTGTCCAGCTCCGGTTGAACTACCTGCGAATTCAGACGCACCTCTACCCAAAACTGAAATTCCATCCACCTCCAAGCCCTTGCCGGGCTCTAGCTCGGATGTGGCTTCAGCTCCGGCGCCATCCCCGCCGAAGACGCCCATTGACGCTGTCACGAAACGCTGGTCTGTCCCGAAAGGGGAAAAAGAGGTTCATTTCGTTTCTGATAGGGAATGGGAGGAGGGCTGGCAGAAGAAATTAGGCACCGTCACGAAGAAGCTGACATTTGGCTACAATTTCATCCTGACAGAGTAAGGTTCCCAGCTTCCACCCACGATTCATGTAGCGTAATCAGCTTCTTACCTGTCAATCCTCAAGCCAACACATCGAGCAGCTTGCCTCCTTAGGGCCGAGCATCTGCCGCAACCTGACGCACTTCGAGTTTTCGTACAGCGACGTCAGCTACACTGCGCACAACGCTAATAAGCTAACTGACGACGCCGCGGCGCGACTAGCGCGCATGTGTCCCAGCTTGCGCGTTGTCCAGCTGCAAGGCGCGGATGCGGACCGGCTGACGGACGCCACAGTCACCGCCTTCCTCGCCAACTGCCCCAATCTGACCTCCATTGAGATCACCGGTGAGCGCGCCGCCGGCGCCATCAAGGAAGCCTTCTTCGACGCACTACGGGAGCATCCGAACTGGGCTCCCAAGCTGAAGACGCTGCGCATTCCAGGGTGCGGGAGCTTGGCGCATCAAGGCAGGTGGATGAAGGCAATGCGTGCGCTATCTAGGGAGCGGGAGACACTGGTGATCGAGTTAGTGAGCGTGTCGCAGGTTAAGAAGTGGGGGGACTGGGAACTAGAGACGTTCCAAGATAAGTACCGGAAGGGGAAGGTTCAACCCTGGTAGGTCATTGATGCCGCGCTTAGCAGCTATGCCCAGATGGCGGGAAACAAGATGTACGACTCACTCTCTGTGTGACGAATCTCAAGCCCTGTCACGGTACCAAGTCCGCGATTCTTAGGTCACGTGCTAAACCACGTGCGCTTGTGTTCGTGGACCCACACTAGCTGTATCTAGCCTCGAGTAGCTTCCTCTCGCGAGAGCTTCCTCTCTCCTCATCGCACAACACAATCTTTCCCAGACCTAGCCCTGTCCCGTAAACCCCTGACCA